CTACCCTCGCTAAAGTCGTTAAGTATAGATCTTAGAAGCTCGATAGCTTTTAAGTAGAAGCGTACGCGACTATATTTCCTTATATAAGAGGCTTTAGACAAGCCCGTATTTTCTTTAAAGTAGGTATATTCTAATAGAAGCTACTAGTAAAGATACGAAGCCGCGATAAAACCTAGGGTTCTTTTACTAGCCCCTTATAGTCTAATAAGAGCGATAGAAGCTTTTATATTATATCTCGAGCTCTTCGGGGCTTAACTACCTATCGCGGCTAGTCTCTAGGAATAGTAAGTATATAGTCTAGGATATCTAGCTATAGATAGTATAAAGCTAAGGCGGAGGATAAACGACCCGTATCTTAAACGTAATATAGTAATATCTATATACGGCGATTCTAGTAACGTGAAGTAAGGAAGTATAAGCTAAGAGGAGCTTATAGAGACTCTAGAGCGAGTAGCTTAATACGTAGATTTATAATTAAATACCTAGTCGTCCTCCTTAGCCTCGCCCTATCTATCGGAGAAAGATATCTCCGAAAATATAGGCGAGTACTAATACGACTAATAAATAACAAAATTTGATCTATTATCGCTTCTAGGCGTAGAGTAAAGTTATCTCTAATAGCTACTACCCGTCGGAAGCTAATAGGCGCTAGTACGGCTAACCGATATCCTATATAGCTATATTATCTCTAGTAGGGTTATAGTATTAAGACTAAAGATTAGTAAAGCCTATAGTAGGTATCGGCGTCGTAAAGAGAAGTATAACGGACGGTAGCCGATCTACTTACCCTATTAGGCGTATAGTAGCGAATACGTATATACTTAGTATTAGAAAAAGAGGGGCCTTCCTAAAGGATATATACACGCTTTAGAGAAGCTCTTAGTCTTAGCTATAACTAAAGATCCCGGTCTAGAGTAGTATTTTATAGAGACTATTAGTAGAGGAGTTAGGAAGAACGATACTTACTTTATAGCCTTGTAGATAGACTATAAATACCCCGGGGCTCTTAGAAAGAGATAGAGGACGTCTATCTTAGCTACCCGACTCGAGGGTTTTATACGGGATCTTAAAGGACTTACGCCGACTAAACTTAATAAACTTCCGGATACGTTACTTCCTCGCTCTAATTAGTAGGATACTATATAACTACAAGCCGGCGATCTTATAACAAAATTTTCTATACGAGATATCGCTATACTACCGAATACGCTACAGTTATTAGAAGAGTACTTTTAGTATATATATAGCTAGATACTAGTCGTAGAAAGACCGTATATCTATTAGCTTGTATATTTACTCTCTACGGACTAGAAGAACCTAAGTAATCCCGATATCTGCTTAATACTAGGTATCTTGTCCTATATTTAGCTTTCTAAGAACTTAAGCGATAGAAACTATAGTATTATTAATCTTACCGGGCTAGTATTAACCTTACTACTAAACAACGTAGTAGAACTGTAATATTAATATATATAAGTATTAATACTTCTTACTATCTCCCGTACTTAAGTAGGCAGGTTCGAAGACGCGTAGCTTTTAATTAGGACTATATACTAAAGCCGCGTTATAGTTATACGAACGGTAGGAGAGGACTAAGTTAGGTCTACAAATCGGACCTATATAGGCTACCTTATTATAGATACGCTACTCTCTACTCGACTTTATATCTAGCTTTACTTCTCGTCGAGGTAAATTGCGGAAGGTATACGTACTTTAGACGAAGATAGAATAGAGGAATAGAGCCTAGGCGACTATTACTTTAAGACGTATAATAGTCTATACCCTTTGCGAATTAACAGCTCCTTTAACTAGCTATTTAGGGTCGTCTAGAGTTTTGTACTAACTTCGAAGACAAGCTCTCTCGAAGAGCGATAAACAGTGCGCTAATAAGTAAGTTCTTATTATTACAGTCCTTATAAGCTACTAGGTAGTAAGGGAAAGCTACCTATACTACTAGGCTAAATTATACGGTATCTAGTCTATCTAGCTGTAATATTAGCGTTTTATAAATCGTCTGAATTAAGTCTAGACGTCTATTTCAAGATTACGAATACGCTACTCCCTCTATAGGAGTACGTAAAATTAACTATCTAGCCCTTTTATATTCTATTAATCTAGGAAGTTACGTTTAATATTATTCTAGACTTTCTCTAGGCGCGCTATAGTAACGGAGACTTTATAGTAAGATCGAGTATCGATATAATAATTACTATTATTACTAAGCTAGACGAGAAATATCCTTTCGAGTTTCTTAAGGCGAGGTGCGTTTCTCTCGGGTTAGCGCAATCCTCGCGCGATATTAGCGCCGACGGCGAAGCTATAATATTATTATTAGGCTACGTAGAGTATAGTTTATTAAATATAAGTAGAATAGGAGCTATAGACGAACTTAATCTAGCTTAATAGCTAGATATCGAAGCCCTCGAGTAGTAGGCTATAAGTCTAGTTATAATAGATACCCTCGATACGGAAGTAGATTAGGACGCGATAATACTAAATCTAGGCTTCGCTATAGGAGAAGAGATATCTAGTATAGCTATTATAGTACTAGATCTGTTTCTCTAATAATAATACGATCTATACCGTAGTCTAGTATTAAGATTAACACAAACTTGTTATACTACTTTCTATAGGCTAAGCTCTACTAATCTAGAAAGAAAGAGAGTATAGTATCTATATAGAGGCTATATTTTTAATATAACAGTACTAGAATCTTCTAGCTAGATTATACCTAAGCTAAGTAGGCGGAGGTTTACTTCTCCGGGCCTCGATTATACTATTCGTATATAATATTTTAAGTAATCTAAGTAAATCCTTTCGCCTACGACGATTAGAAAAGAGGCGGCTCGGCTAGATAAGTACCTCTATACTAGGGCTTTAATAATTATAATAGGTAATATAAGGCCTATAGTACGAATCGTAAGTATTTTTTATATATCGTTAAGTATAATACTAATAGACTAGGCCGTAGTAGGATCTAGTAGATTTATTAGTCGAGCTTATATTCGCTATATCCTCGATAAATAAGAAACTCGTAAGTATTTTAAAGCTCTAAGGATATACTCGTACGCTAATTTAGATCCTAGAGCTCGCTATATTTGTGTACTTTCCTACCGTAGAGTAACTTAATTAGGACTAATATACTAAAGTAATACTACGCTATCGTTATAAGCGGACGCGGAAAAATATAGCGTAGTATTTTTTAAGACGATTAAAGGGTACCTAAATACGTACAGCTCGGGGACGCTAGATCTCGATACTATTATACTCGCTACTCCTACTTAGACCTATATATCTATATCGTAACTTTTCGAGGACCGCGGACTAGCCTTACTTATTAAGAAGCCGCTCTTAACTAACGGTTAGGACGGTAATTAGCTTTTAGTACTATCGGCTAGGGATACTAAAGGTATATATATAGTAGGGTATTATCGGCGATATAGTCCTTATATAAAGGCTATTAAGCACGTTCTTAACGGAAAGAACTTAGGCGATATTATAGCTATAAATAGAGGTAAGTCTTATTATTATTAACCGTTACCCTACTTAATCTAATAGCGGTATAAGTATAGGTAATAAGGAAGAGCTAAGAGTATTTTAATATTCCCTAGTACACGTAAAAAGGGGCTAGTAGTATAGTAAGATAGTCTCTACCCTTAGAATTAAAAGAGGCTAACTAATTCGTTAGCTTTTAACAAACGCTATATACGACCTTAATATACTGCAGTATTAGCTAGGAGATATTATAGAGGTCTTCGTAATAGAAGGTCGAAAGCTAAGGCTATTTAACGTCGACTTAACCGTTTAGCTCTCTTTAAAGTTCTCGTTAGGGGCTGTTAGATCGTTTCTATTAAGCGAGTAAGTACGTCGACGATAGGAAATAGTAACTACTAACGTCTTAATAGCTTAAGCGCCTCTTATCTATTATAGGAAGCTAGTATAGGAGATAATCCTATCTTCTCTCGTACTAGCGTAGACTTCTTTACTATCTTTAGGATAACCGGCTTATTAAGTGTACCCTTATTATAAGTTAATATAGCTTACTTCATAGGCACCTATATCGTAACTAATATCGTTAGGACACGCTATTACTACGATAATAAGCCCGAACGAGAGAGGAATTAGAACTTTCTACTACAAGAAGATAAAAGCGTAGAAGATATATTAGATAGCGGTTCTGCTTTTACCTATCAATTGAGGCATTTTGTTACCGTTGCGCGAAGAGAGAATGAACCCAACTGTTCGGTAGAAGATAGATTGAAGGCGGTGTCGGTCACCGATGCTATATTTAAGAGTATCTAGATAGGCGGGCCTGTTTTGGTTGAAAAGGTATGAACTATTCTTGCTCTGTGTACAACCTTAAAGTCCAAATGTTTTCTGGTGTTTCTCTTTACTGCCCTCGCAAGTTAGTAATACTAGGATCCTCTGTGTAGGTCCATAAGCTCTTAACGGCGAAATATCGAGACTATATAGAGGTACACGGGCTGAGCAGGCTCACGTAAGATTCAGACGCCCCTGCAAGTTTTCGGAAGGAGGGCTTAATTGGCAGGTACGCTCCTCTCTTTAACCTTGAAAGTATGCTCGTAAGACCTCATGTTCCTAGTAATACAGCTCACGGCCCTTGTCCCCCTAAGACTATAGTGGGAAATAGATAAATGGACTGCCTCCTGCCTACAGTTCCGCTCTGTCATCTTCGGACGAATACTTTGCCGAAGCAAGAAAGTGGTTCGTGTCAACTCCTCTGTTGAACGATGAAATCTCAGTAAGCCAACGCTTGGCAAAGAGCCATCAATACGCAGTATTGACGTTTGGAGTTGTGCTTACAGGAGCAAGCTTCGTAGCCGGGTGTGATGGCGTAGGTAGGGCCAACAGGCGTTCAGCCTCGCTCCTGCCCCAATGGTCAAGCATGATAGTGTCCTGCTTCGAGCAACGTATTTATGTGAGTACTGTGCCTTTTCTATCAAACACTCCATGGGCATTTTGAGTTGGTCCTTCCTACAATGGCAAAGCCCACGATCATTTTGGTCCCCGGAGCCTGGCACAAAGCCCTCGAAAGCTTCCATCTACTTACGACACTACTGGGGAATCACGGATATGTCGTGGAAGCCGTTCCGCTTGCCTCTGTCGGCCAGTCTCTTCCACGATTAGGATTTGAAGAAGATGTCAAGAACGTTGCCACTGTCATTGAGAAGCATGCAGACCAAGGCTCCGACATCGTGGTTCTCTTTCATTCCTACGGTGGAGTTCCTGGTTCGTCCGCTTGCCGACACCTTCTGAAGTCCGATCGATCAGCCGTCGGGAAGGCTGGAGGAATTACGCACGTTGTGTACTGTGCAGCATTCGCCATTGAAGAGGGACGTTGTTTGATGGATGGGATGGGGGGCCAGCCTCTTCCGTGGTGGGTGTTCGACGAGAGCGAAGAATCCATGATGCCCGAGGACCCCGAAAATACATTTCTACAACGACATCGATGATCAAGAAACGCTCAGGGGCTTGGTGACCGGTCTGAAACCGCAAAGCTTCAGCGCATTCTGGGGCAAAGCGACGTACATGCCGTGGCTTTACGTGAACAGTACATACATTCTTTGCAGCAACGATAATGCCTTGCCCTTTGGAGTACAGGAGGGGATGATGATGAATGCGAAGAAGGCTATTCAAGCAAGTGGTGGCAGGGTAGTGATGAAGGATGTTACTTTGAGTACTAGTCACAGCCCCTTTATGAGCCAGCCACAGAGAGTGGCGGACATCTTGAGGAGAATCGCGGGCGATACAGTGTAATCATAATGTAGTCGCAAGCGATAGTCGTGTTCAGCAAGCTCAACACGATGCCCTCTTCTCCCAGTCGAATAGTGTGTATCACAAAAGGCATACGTGAACGTCTCTCGTCTAGCATGAGTTGTCTGACCGGAGTTCGTCCACTTTAGTGTAGCCAAGCACGTATCTTGTGTTGTTTTTGCTTTCTGAGCTAGAAGTAATGACCGGGTCGCCTCCGAACAGCTCACTGCTGGGCTGAAGCTGCCGGCGAATTCCTTCTCCGTAGGGCGCAAGGCGTCCTACCTTACACCAACTGTGTAACAAAGCGTTGGACGCCTTATAGTAGCCTCAGTGTGACGACAATGTCACTGGTCAGGACAGTCTACTGAGACAACATCAAGAGAAGCCTTTGATTTTTCCCAACAACTGAGACGTTTTCTTCCAATTACTTCACCCGAATTGACGACAATGGCTCAGGGAAAACCGTTTGGCAACTTGCCATCAGGCGCTACCTCGAACGTCAAGCCATATGAGCTACATATACCAGAGGCAGATGTACAGAACATGAAGAACCTTCTGAAGCTCTGTCGACTTGCAGGACCGGTCTACGAGAACTCCATGCCAGGCGGCAAAAGAACTCTTGGCGTACGACGAGACTGGCTGGCAGACGCAAAGCAAACTTGGGAGACGGACTTTGACTGGTCAGCTCTTTCATGAAATCCCCTTCGAACGAAGTACTCACCAGGGTTCAGGCGAGCGAGTGAGAGCCACATGAATTCCTTCCCAAACTTCAAAGCGCCAGTCGAAGATAAGACTGGCACGTTCGAGATCCACTTCCTCGCACTTATCTCCAGTCGAGTGGACGCCATTCCAGTGATCTTACTACACGGATGGCCCGGTTCGTTCCTTGAATTTCTGCCTATGCTACAGCTCTTCAAGGAGAAGTATACACCCGAGACGCTTCCATATCATTTGGTCGTGCCCAGTATTCCAGGCTTCACATTATCTGCCATGCCTCTTCTTGATCGAGATATCAGCCAGGGAGATGCTGCAAGGATTCTCAATAAGCTGATGGTCAACTTGGGCTTCGGCTCAGGCTATGTCGCCCAGGGCGGTGACATCGGGTCCAAGGTGGCAAGAATTTTGGCTGTCAATCACAAGGAGGCGAAAGGCAAGTATCACCAAGTATTCTCGTCTATAGGGTTCTTGCTAACACCTTCTCAGCTGTGCATCGTAAGATGTTTGAAACGCTCGATTCCAGTAATTTCAGAAACTGACGGAACGATTCACAGTTAATTTCTGTCCGATGGGTCGACCAGCGTCAGCTACAGACGACTCAATACTCTCCGAAGTCGAGAAGAAGGGGCTTGAGCGAGGTAATACTTGGAAAGCCGGTGGGAACGCTTACGCTCTGGAGCAAGCAACTCGACCCAGCACGATCGGTTTTGTGTTGAGCAGTAATCCCTTAGCGCTTCTTGCTTGGTATGCTGTGAGCCTTGCCAACCTTCCGTGACACTAACGCTCGCAGGATTGGGGAGAAATACTTGGAATGGACAGATGATCCGAAGCCCTCCCTGACCTCTATTCTCGAATCGTGCAGCCTCTACTGGCTCACTGGATGTGCGCACAGCAACTTGTGGTCATACCGCCATGTGAGATAGCTGTACCTCCACCAATCTCGATGCGACACTGACATGGCTGCTACAGTCTTTTGGCCCTGGCCAACTCATGGCCCAGGACGACCCCAGATATTACATTGACAAACCGTTTGGCTTCTCATACTACCCGAAGGAAACTGCACCAACGCCAATATCATGGGTTGCGACGACTGGTCGTCTAGTCTGGAGTAAGGCTCATGATAAAGGAGGGCACTTTGCAGCGCTAGAGCGACCGAGTGAATTTGTGAACGATCTTGAGGCCTTCATTGGGCAGGTCTGGAGCAGAAAGTAGTAAGACCCCAATGCAGTACGCTGTGCGAAATTCATGTCACCTGCGTGATGCGCTATTCATTCACTTCATGCACGTGCTCTGACGTCATTACTTAGTTAGCCAGGTGCACGAACTGTGTAGAATCTTCCGGTCGCGCTGAGGCTCAATCTCTTCAGTACTTTGCTACTCGCCATTCATCAAACCAAGCCAGTTGCTGCAAAGTTTTGTTTGGCTTCCTGCACGCCTTTGTTGTCTGACGGCACCGCGCGCCAACACCGCCAACCTTCTATCGCTTTGTTTCAGTCCAAACACTTTCAAATTCGAGGTCGACCAACCGAGCCCACAGCAGCTCTCTACCAACACTCTGACCTGAGAGGACAGTTATGGCAGGTCTCAAAGCAGCCGAGGCGAAAGATGTGGAGATACCGGCCGCAGACGTTGGTAAAGAGATGGATGACAACTTCGACGACAGCGATGACAGCTGGGAGACATCCGAGAGTGATGGCGACACCTGGCCTGCTGATATTCAGGTGCGAGATCTTGGAAACAGGGCCATCTACAAGGTAAGGGTCCTCTGCCCAGTAACATCTGGCCCGTCGCTGCGCTCTCATCTGTATCACTAACACGCCGACATAGTCAGGTCAAGACAGCCTCGCTTTCATGTCCACACTGATCAAGTGCGGTACGAATGACCTCGATTGGATCCCCCAGTCCGTCGTGCTTCTCAACGATGCCCTCTTCCAACAGGAAAAGTCTGGCGTCAACGGCTGGGCTTTCTTCTCGTTAGTGCCTTTCCAAGTAAGTTTGAAAGACAACGATGTCCGAAATTGGATGGTCTGAACACTCTGACACCTTAACGCTCTGCAGCCTGAAGCATACGAGTCCAAAACCAGATTTCTAGCTGGCCCTTCCGCCTACTTCGTGCCATGTATTCCGCCCGAGGAAGCCAAGCAACGCTGGAAGGAGGCCAGTTTCGAAGCGAAGCTGCAGCTCTCCAGCGACACATTGCTCTGCCACTGGGTCGATGACTTGACCGAAGCTATGCCAATCTGGTCCTTCGATTCACGCAACGGCAAGACACGTAAGATCAGACACTGGCCTCCGGCCGGACTGCTCGAGCACACTGGCTACGCGGATCCTGCAGTTAAGAACGAGACTGGCAAGCCGCAGGGAGTTGTGCTTGGTCTCGTCGGTACAGGAGAAGCTACGCGGCTGTTCTGTGGCCGTGCCGATGAGTGCTACGATCGAACCTCGTCTGACGTGGACCGCCCTGCGAAGTCACGAGTCATCAAATTCAAGGAGCATCAGCAGTGGATGTCTGACCAACTCGTCTCAAAGAAGGAGGACGATGTCGCGGCTTGCTTGAGGCGCTTGGAGGACATTGCGACCACCGACATCATCGATCGCCCACAGACGATCACTTACCTCGAGGCAAGAGCTTGGATCTACAAATCTCCGCTCAAGATTTCAAGGTAAGAGGGAAGCCATAGAACTCTGGAGCGGATCTGAGCAGTAATGGGCATGACATTTGGCAGAATTGATGCGGACAAGAGACTTTCCATGGCATGGCACCTTCAATCACGGAGTTTCGAAGCACAAGCATAGGCAATATACCCTGCTAAGAAGTCTGTATGTTGCGAGGCAGTCCTGTCTTTGCCACTACAACCTTTCTAAGGCCCTCGATACGGTTGAATTGGCCAACCAAGCTTCAACTTCTGCAGCTGCAAGGCAACGAACCTGGAATAAAACCTCGCGATTCTCGCCTCGCCACCGAAATAGAAGAGATGCGGATGTCCAGCAAGCTTCGCATACCCTTTAATCTCCCCTTCGTCGTCCAGTCCCCAGAAGTCGTCCATCTGTGCAGCGATCTCATGCCCGACGATCCCTTGTGCGTCTTTGCGGAAGTCATGTTCGAACCCGGTACACAGGACGATGAGGTCAGCGTCGAGGGTACTTCCATCCTCAAAGAGAAGTCCGTTCTCTGTGAGCTCTTTCACTACCTCGGGTTTCATCTTGACTTCCCACTTTATGATCCTGGCACAGTTCCCAATATCAATATAGTGACCACCAAATCGCCCGTACAGATGATTGAACAGCTGTCCGTAACGCTCTGTCTTGAAACCGGCTGCTTCCAAATCATCCCAAAGCTTCGGATTGGCCCGAATACCAGCCCATATGTGCTTGTTAGCCAGCTCGCTCAGCACTTTCAAGGGCTGGGTGATCTGCTCGCGGTCGGCCTCTGCCACAGGCTTGTCGAGGTTGTAGTCAGGTTGATGAGCATATACTAGAAATTGACCTGGAATCACCCATGTTTTTCCGCGCTGTACCATCGTGGTGTCCATTCCTAGATTGGCCATATCCTCGGCGATGTCATGTCCTGTATTCGCGGTCCCGATGACGACTCCTCGCTTACCGGCAAAGTCGTTTGCATTGTGGTAGTCTGCGGAGTGGATGAGCGTACCTTTGAAGCCGCTCCTCTTAACTTCGTGCTCTGAAGCCCACGCTGGTCGGGATGGGGTTTTATGGCCTGTACCGATGGAGAGAACAAAGTTCTTGCATCTCCACTTCTGATCGCCATTCTTTCCAGATGTACTCACCGTCCAAAGCTGGTTCGCACCATCCCATGAGGCGGAGTCGACCGAAGTAGCTTCTTGAACATTGATCGCATGTTTGAATGCCCAGTCTTTATAGCCCGCCCCGATTTGCTTCGCTGGTAATAGTGTTGGTTGATCCGGCTTCCACGTACGTCCAAATAGGAGGTTTCAGTACTCTCTAGTGGTATGCCATTTCAACGAATCGTATCGGTGTGACCATGAATCACCGATAGATGGTCTATTGTCAAACAAGATGTAGTCAACACCCAAAGCCTTACATCGACCAGCAGCTCCGAGGCCACTCTGACCACCACCAGCGATGATGGCATCGTAGATATGGTCTTCACTCTGAATGTTGCTATTGTCGTGGCCGCTTTTTGGTTCATCCGGATGGCCATGGCCTTCGTAGGACTCAAGCCACGATCGCACCATCCAAATCTTCCACATCCCATCCACTTGTACGAGCGACACGACAGCAGTACACCTTCCCACGAGCTCCCCATCCTTCACTGCGAAAGTCAAAGTGACGTCAATCCAGCTATTCTCCACGACTTGGGGTTCTTTATGCGATAATTCGAACTCGGAGCGCCCTCTTTCCTGACTCAACTCTGTGTAGACAGCGTGGACAACATGCGGCGAGTAAAAGGTGCGGAACGTGTCGGTAAAGGCGAGCATTTCTCTCCAAATGATATTTTCAGCGAGATGGTCTTGATCCAAGCTGTTCATGTATTGACCCGCTAGGATGGCGATTTTCGATTTATCGACGTTTTCTGAGAGCTGGCTCTTTGGCAACGAGCCGGGTATGTTTTCCAAATTCGCACTTGGATGGTAGGTCATCTTTGTATTAATGGTGCTGCTCCGAGAAGAGGAAGAAGAAAGTGAGGGGTTTGAGAAGTATCGGCATATAGCTCACGCTGGTAAGTAGTTACTTACTTATCCAGCTGACGTGATGGTCCCGACGTTGTATGGAGTATTACGCGGCTGAAAAGTACAGTAAGAAGAGCCCTGTTGCTGGAGCAGCTCATGCGCAAGGATGTTGGCGGTGTATATTCGAGACTGGATTCACTCGGTCTCGCTCGCAACTTTGTCGTCTTTCGGCGAACGAGGCGATGATTACGAGGCTCTGGAGGAATCTTCTTGCAGAACCCACTGGAGCAGCAGTACAAAGCCCTGGTCCTGCTTGTATGAAGGATTTGAATGGGCTGAAATGTTATCAGGCTGAAAAGTGAAGTCGAAAAAGCTTGGGGGCCGTCTTGGGATCGAGCTGCGATGAGTCAACATTGAGTTTCATTCACTGAGGCCTCTCCCTGGGCCATCAAGGTCGAAATCTCCCAGCATCTCTTTCTCATGATTCCTGTTCGTATCTCAGCTTTATCTTCTCCGCTTCAACAGTGTGAGATGCGTCTCCAAATGTCATCTCCGTTCATGCCCAGCGTATGTGTGGCACAGTGGCATTCCCTTCACGGCCGGCATCGCACAGGGGGGCACCAGTTGAGAATCATGGACACAGCTTGACAGGATTCCATGCTTTTCGCCATGAACACGAAGAGGATGGATGATGTCTACGACTCTGCTACCCATCCACGTCGGCATCTATCGGCGTTTGACCGACCCCTGATCCTTCTCCTCTCAATCCGATGCCGCTCTCGGTCCAGTTCTGCCCCGCATACTGGCGGGGAGCTGTCACAATGGCAAAGGTATCGGACCGTGAGGTCAGAAGAATCGGGTAGACGTCCGTTGGTCATGTCTTTGCTATTCCCTTCTATATCGTCCGTCTGTCCTCATTCACTCCCCTGCCTCTCTTCAACGATCGCTTTGAGACACCAACACGATGACGCTCGCCAAGCTCACGAACAACCGCGCCGTTCAGATGCTGAACAAGGCCGCTGAAGGGAAATATGGCGTTCTTGGAGTTGTCTCGTACAATTTGGAGACCGTGGTGGCAGTCATCAAGGCCGCAGAAGCGAAACGATCACCAGTCCAGATTCTCCTGTTCCCGTGGGCTCTTCACTACTCTCCGCTCTTCATCGACCTTGCAGCCAACGCCGCACGAAAAGCCAAAGTTCCAGTCACAGTCCACATGGACCACGCCCAAGATCCCGAAGTGATCAAGGTCGCCTCCCAGATCCAAGCTGCAGACGGCACGCCAGCATTCGATTCGATAATGGTTGATATGTCACATTTCGAGAAAGAAGACAATTTAGCAAAGACGAAAGAGCTGGTGGCTTTGTGCCATGCGAGGGGAATCTCCACAGAAGCTGAGCCGGGTCGCATAGAAGGAGGAGAAGATGGTGTGAAGGACACTGCCGAGCTGGAGGGCATGATGACAACCGAGGAAGAAGTGGATGATTTCATTGCGACTGGAATTGACTTCCTCGCACCGGCATTTGGGAACGTACATGGAGACTACCATGGTGTGGAGAACATTCATCTCGACTTCGACCGGTAGGTAACCGAGGGCTGGTATGATCTTTTTCGGAAACTGACCCACATTACAGGCTATCAAACATCCAAAGAAAAGTAGGAGGGCGAGTGCAGATCGTACTCCACGGCACGAACGAGTTCCCTCCCGACATCATGGCCAAGTGCATCGAGCGAGGCGTGACGAGGATAAATGTCAATAAACTGGTACTCTCAGACTACAACAAATATGTGGAAGAGAATACAGGCGAGGTGCCGCTCACTCAGTTGATGGAAACGGGGACGAGTCTGATACAAAAACAAACGGAAGCGTGGATGGACGCTATCGGCAGCAGTGGGAAGGCTTGAGGAGACCAATGTATCATTTGATAGACATTCGATTCAGATACTTCAATATGGAGCTCTACTGCTTCTTCAACGACTCTGCAAAGTCTTCCACAGCCCCTTTGAAATTCTGATCTGCAACAAATCCCAAACTCAACGCCTTGGAAATGTCGAAGGTCGTCGGCCAACTATCCAGCATAGCTTTGATCTCCGGCGAAGGCTTCTCCCTCTTCACCAACTTGACAGCATCCTCGCCTCCCACTGCCCTCAATGCATCCAACATATCCTTTACCGTAGATGTAATCCCAGGAAGCAAGACTTGTCTGATATGCGGTGGCAAGCTGTTCCCGTCCAATGTCAAGGCGTGCTTCAAGTTTCGAATCAATGTCTTGGGAGAGCACAGCCAAGCTTTGAAATCACCATCACATGGCAGAACGCTCTCCTTTCCTTGCAGCGGCTCTCGAATGATTCCACTCATCCAACTCGAAGCCGCTTGAGTGGGCTTGCCAGGTCGTACAGAGATGGTCGGGAAGCGGAGAGTGAAAGCATTGATGTAGCCACGACGATTGTAGTCGTTAACGATGTACTCGATCATGGCCTTTTGCGTGCCATAGCTACCCTGTGGTGTAGGTACAGTCTCCTCGCTGGGAACTTCGGGTAGCGGTTGCCCGAAGATGGCTGTCGACGAAGCATAAATGAACCTCACACCTGGTAAGGTGGCTCGGATAGCATCCAGAAAATTGATGGTACTCTGCAAGTTCACACGATATCCCAGTTCGAGGTTCTCTTCTGATCCTGCTGACATGATGCCGTGGAAGACATACATAGCGTCCAGGTCTTTGGACAGTACAGCTGATGGAGACTCGTAAAGATCGGCCTTGATGGGAATGGCGTTCTGTTTGTTGGAGGCCGCCGCTGGGATTGGTGGCTCGAAGATGTCCGCCAGAACCACGGTGTGATTGTCGTTGAGAAGATATTCGGCCAGCAGTTGACCTACGAAGCCGCCGGCGCCTGTGATGAGGATCTTCATGATGGTGGGTGTATTGGAGATGGGTTTTGACGACGTAGCTTCGTCTCTTCGGAAATGGAAGGGGATCGTCTGCTGCTATAGCGATCTTGTTGGCAACACCGAGAAGTTGACAGCGAAGGGATACTAGCTTCTTCAGGCACTTTTCTCACTCTTGTCGCGGGATGATTCTGCTCACGTCAAGATCGGAGAGCATCATCCGAATGACCCCCAAACGAAGCTACCCGACCTCGCTTCGGAGCTATATGCTCCTGGCTGAACTCGGGCCAACATTCACCGAACCCGTCGGCCGTCGGCTTTTGCTCCTTCCTAATCAGGCAGCCCGGTTTTCGCTCCACCTGCCATGCCTTTACCGATCCACTTGCCACGAGCGCCACTCCAGTCTTCACTCTCCCCGTGGAGACCCCAACTTCACCATTTTGCAATTATCGTGTCATGCGGTGTGGGTCGTCCGCTTCTACAGATCCACACTGCTGAGCATGTGAAATGGGGACGGCAAGGTGAGGCGGCAGGTAGGACGAAGTCTTTCCATGCTTTTTCATCTACGCGGGTGTACTCTCTCCTGAACCTTTAGATCTCTCACTCGACCACTCCTGCAACATGGTGACCGACTCAAAGGACTCCACGGAGCTGAATGAGATCCGTACGAGCATCGACAAGCCGAGCATCAAGGATCTGGACAATGTCAATCAAGAGCAAGCGGCATACTTCTCGGACTTCGCGACAAAAGATGAAGAATGGGTCGAATATCAGAACAAGAAACTTCTGCGAAAGGTCGACGCTCATTTGCTCCCGCTACTGATCCTGATGTACCTGTTCAACTTTCTGGATCGCAGCAATCTGGCTCAGGCACGACAGGGAACGCTGGAGGCGGACTTGGGCATGAAAGGGACAGATTTCAACTTGGCCACGTCAATCTTCTTCATCGGTTATCTTTTGATGCAGCTGCCTTCGAACATGATCATCACCCGAGTCCGCCCGTCGCTTTATCTGGCAGCAGCAACTACAGTAAGTCTGGACGAGGACCTCCCCATGCAATATGATCGGATAGCTAATATTGTTATTAGCTTTGGGGCGTGGTCTCAACTTGCAATGCAGGCGTTCACAGCTTCAAGGGCTTGGTCGTAGTGCGTTTCTTCCTTGGATTTGTAGAAGCTCCCTTCTTCCCCGGTGTCATCTTCTTGATGAGCTCTTGGTACACTCGAGCTGAATTGACAAGACGTGTTGCTTGGTTCTATGCTGGAAGTTCGTTAGCGAACATGTTTGGCGGTTTATTGGCCGCCGGAATTCTGGGCAATTTACATAATGCACAAGGAATTGCAGGATGGAGATGGCTATTCGTAGGTTCTGGCAGAATTAGAAAGGAGACCGAGCTGACAGTACCAAGATCATCGAAGGGACTATCACTATCGCTGTCGGCTTATGTGCCGGCTTCTTCTTGCCTGACTATCCAGCCAACACACGATGGCTGAACGAAGAAGAGAGAGCGTTTGCAGCATGGCGACTTCTACAAGACATCAACGAAACCGACGAGACTCGCTCCTCCAGTGTCTGGGATGGCATCAAGATGGCACTCAAGGACTACCGACTCTATCTGTTCACTCTGCTGCAGCACATGAACTTGCTATCTCAGACATTTCAGTACTTCTTCCCGAGTATTGTTGCTACTCTAGGCTTCGGCAGCATTGAGACTTTGCTGTTGACAGTGCCTGGTACGTCGGCTCACACGAATCACTCGAGAGATTGTGCTAATTCCTCTTTAGTCTGGTTCGCTACCTTCCTTACTTCCGTTGTCGTCACATTCACGGCCTCCAAGACCAAGGACCGCTCGATCCATATCATCGTGCTCATGCTTGTTGCCGCAATCGGCAACGCCATCGCCACAGCCACGACAAGCCTCGGGGCCCGCTTCTTCGCCATGTTTCTGATGCCAATGGGAGCCATTTCGGCTTTCACCATCATCGTGCCATGGATCGCCAACTCCTTTCCTCGACCTATGGTCAAGAGATCTGCTTGCGTTGCGATCGCCAATATGATTGGAAATACAGCTTCGGCATACGGCAGCTACATGTATCCGAGCTCGGCAGCACCGCAATACATCCCTGGAGGCAGTGCGAACGCCGCCATTAGTGTTTGCGTAGCGCTTGTAGCACTGCTCCTGCGGGTCTTGCACCAACGAGAGAACAAGAAGCTAGAGAAGGCAGAGCTGGAAGCCGCTCAAAGTGGCGAGGCAGCGGAGGAGCAGGACAGAAGAGGAGTTGGATTCAGATACGTGTACTGATTGACGATTAGACATAACGACATCTATTAGGAACCATTCTATCGGGCAGAGTTACTTCCACGCCAAAATTTGCACCTGCGTCGACGAGAACCACGCGTCTTCCGTGTCTGCCCATTTATTGACTGCTTTCAACGTTTCTCCGATCTCATCCTCAGAGATTCCAGCATCAAGCCAGCTCTGATAGAATGGCTCACCCTTCTTCAACTGCCCAGCACCACGATTCGCAAGCCACACTCGGGCTTCACGACCAGTAAGCATACTGGCTGCACCGCTGACTTCGACCTTCTCATCGACGTCGAATCCTCTGCGTCTGAGTAAGGCCGGCATTTGCTGATTCGTCGGCGTATACTTGCCGTACGCCTCGCCCATATAAACTCGATAAGCGTTCTCACCCCACAGCTTGTCGAGATTGAGGGAGGACGGGTAGAAATGTTGTGCTACACCATCGCGAGTGGCCAAGATGCCTCCCTTCTTCAGGACCCGGCGAATCTCAGCAAGCGCTTGCAGAGGCTGATCTGGTGGTGGCAGGTGGCCAAAGACTTGGGAGCAATAGACGATATCGAACGTCTCGTCGTCGAAGGGCAACGTCTTGAGGACGTCACCGTACTGGAAGACTACCGACCCTGGGCCTTCAGTAGGGATTTTTGCTTCCGACGCCAGCGCTCTCGCCTTTTCCAGCACTCCCTCTGAAAAGTCCACGCCAACGATTCGTCCTTCAGAGGCGTACTTGGCGAAGCCGGTTGTAATGGTTCCTGGGCCACAGCCTATGTCCAAGATATGGTGAATCTTCTGAATGTGAGGCAGTAAAAACCCTCCGTCAACTTCCGCCGTCCGGAGCAGATGTGTCGCGAGCGTGCTGGCGGTGTGGCCTTGTTTATAGGTATGCGTGGATTGGGCCATGGTGAATTTTCTCCCCTAGAATCCTTCCTTTTCATGCGATAAGACTTGACGTTCTATTATACATGATCTTGTGTTTCAGCTTTATGTTAAGTCCGCTACAGCCAGCGACTTCGGCATCCTCGGAACCGTAGGAATGTTATGCATCGTCCCCTTGACTTCGAAGAGAAAACTTGACGCCATAGCCAAATCGGGTAGTGGTCAAATAGGCCAATCGTGTTGTGTCTTATTGAGGAGCTAATGCAGGCACTAATGCTCTCTACTGGTATCATGTTTAGGGGTCAGGGAAGACTTTCGTACTTAGGAGTTCGGATTGGTGGAGGCCTTGTCAGAAAATGTCACCATTTCCACACTACACTGCGTGCTGCCATACCTCAAATCTATTCTTAGTCCTAGTCTATGTTGCGGTGCATACTGAATGCGGCATCGTAGCTGCGGCAGGTTATTCTTGAGTCATTCAAAGCGGTATCATATAAATTACGCTTTCTCAAGACGTAACGTAGGTCATTATCTGGGTAATGTTTGCATGGAATTGAAATCCTTGAAATTGGCTTGCGAGGGGATCGTAGGGACGTAGTAGGGAATGTCCGGTCTCCCTATGTACTGTGAGCCCATGCGAATCCTCTCCGCCACAAACAGCTTCAGATCGGTAAGGGAAACTTGTCCTCTGCACTACCGGTCGATCGATTATGTATGTAGCAAGTGAGCAATGGTGCCCATACCGGCATTCGGTGACCAGCTTGTCCCTAACCGAGTCTAGAGGAGGACAATAGCTTGCATGATCACATGCAAGCACTTCCAGACACATTGATCAGCTGTCGTCATCGCGTCCCAATTTGTCTTCATCCTTGGATTTAATTCCCGCAACCGGAGGTCTTCGGACTCCACACTCGTCCTTTCACAGCTTGCACCATGTACGACACAGTTCGTGGGTCGCTGAACACAGTATGCAGCGTCCTTGTGCCAAAATTTGTAAACATTATGGGCCCATAGCTTGAACGTATCGCACATTCCGAGGTTCTTGCCTGCCATGAGTGCTTCTCAACCGCAGTAGGAGGGCTTTGTTCTCAACCATAAGAGTGCGCATGCCTAGTACGAGGTAGGAAAGGCTGGGTAAGGCTGAGTTTCGCCACTCGGCTGCGGAGGTTCGGACACCGGTGGCTTTTACCGCTGCAGTGAGTTTGCTGGACCTCGTCATGGGCAAAGATCTCACTTCGGGCAGGAGTCCAGTGATTTAAACCTGCATTGGGCAAGAGTGTTCGATCGAAGTGCATGGTAGCGTTCATGCAGATACCAAGCTTCACGGCTACCATGCCGTTCGCCACGTTGCATGCCACTTTGTATGCCGCTCGCAAGATCCCCACGTGCTAGACGCCTGAGAATCAGTCGCCAACTCATAGCATGCCACTCAGGGGCCGATGCTATGGTTCAAGCTACCCTTTCTTAGTTCGCAGTAGCGCTCGGGGGAACAACATTTTCCTCATCGTGCTGTTGGTATCTAAACCGACATGAGGGCAGTTTCCGGGTGCAGGTTACCCACAAGGCGTGAATTCTATGTCTTCATGGACGCAGAGGAATCCTTTGCTGGCGTGAGGCAACGTAGCTCAGTAAGGGCTTTGCCTATTCAGCGTGTGAACCATGCGACCAAGAAGACGTCCATCAACATTGCCATACGTTTATATAGGAAAGATAAGGGGATATCTATGACCACGGCTTGACTAAATAGAATGCTATGAGGTACAGATAAGTCGAATAACTGCTGCTACTCGTCTCAAGACCCGTATTCCAATGACATGTGCTGGTTCTCATTGGAAACCATATCAAGCAGCAGCTGCATCAAGCGAAATCTTCTCCATGCTAGCCATCTACTACCTCAATGAGACTGTCACCCACATGCCGGAGGAACCGCTGTCGGTACATCGCTCGAGCAGTTGCCTTTGCGAATGAAACATCGAAGTGCCATCATCATCGCTCATGGCCGTCTCAGAGATGGGGAAACCCAAGGGCATGTCCGAAAGAGAGACATATAAAAAGTCTCTCCACAACTCATCTCCTGTTTGTAGCAGCATTATCACCATAATAAGTCACTCGTCACACTCACGGATATCTTTGTGCCATCAAAACATATCTATCATGAGGTCCTCCTTCCCTGCAGCGATCCTAGCGATCGCGTCTACAACCGCCATGGCCGCAAACACTACTCATCCAAACTTCGTTTTCATGAAAGATGTCACGAGCCCTCATGTTGACGATGTGTCCCAAGTCTGCTTCACCTTTGTGAGCGATGGTGGCTTGGCGGGGTTCTACTACACGTTTTCTCCCCCCTGAGGTACCAGCACTGGCTACGTTGGCGATCATGGTACTGTTTGTGTTCCTACTGCAACTGATGGAGGGGCTATGTATATTGGAACGAACGTAAGCAGAAGTTCCACGGTAGAGAAGATTTGCCGGACTGACTTGGCGACTTCGGGCAGAGCGACCCAGGCCCCGGGGCTACCAAGCTCGAATGCTTCTTTCCAGCGACGGGCACTGCCAACTGCGACATCTCACTCGTTGATGGATACTCTGTCTCGGTTGGCTGTGTTCCAGCCGGCGATAACCAACTCATCGGTTCGAACCAGAGCCTTCTCGGACACGGCATCCCTTGCCCCGATCAGCAGGGTCCTTACTGTATCAACACTGAAGGATACGCTCCGAGCCAGTCTGACGTATTGCCGTTCTTTCAGCAAGGAGTACAGGTCCGTAAAGATAGCTGAATGGGTGTTGCAGTTAAGCTAATTCTTGTAGAACGGCAACAACTACTGCATCTGGGACAGCTGCGCGCAAGATTACTATTTCCCAACTGGCACTGGCCTTGATTGCTTCGTTACTGCGTAGAACAGGAACGTATTTGCATCTCAGAGTGCACCTGATAAGGCGGAAGGAGAAAGGAGACAAGGGGGTTGGAAATCGCTGGAAAGTGAAGGATGCCAAGACTCACACATTCGTTTGAAGGCCTGTTATAGAGTAGTAGATAGATATAGTATCAAGCGCTTGATCACACAACCTTCTTGCCCTTTCCAATTGTTTTGTCCATTCACGGCTTTCTACGGCCCCGAATACCCGGCGGTTCGGAAAGCCTCAGCAAGGCTGACGGTCGACCTCGGCACGAAGTCCGGGTGTTGTCAAATTTAAAGAGGATCCTCTTCGCGGGCGATCACAATCCTTGCAAGTCCTCAACATGAAAGTCGTCATCACCCATTGGGTCCATGAAGAAGTCACAACATTTCTGGGATCGTTCGCGCAGGTCAAGGCACCCACAACGCCTGGCCAAGTATGGCCTCAAGACAGAGTCCTCCTGGAAGCAGCGGATGCAGACGCAGTAATTACATGCATGGCCGACAGCGTCAACGAAGCATTTCTAAAAGCCTGTCCAAATCTCAAGATCATTGCTGCCACTTTGAAAGGATACGACAACTACGACGTTGAAGCCTGCAAGCAACACAATGTTCAGTTAACTATCGTCCCGGACATCATAATTCCCCCGACGGCAGAGCTCGCGGTATCTCTAGCGCTGGGTATCATTCGGAATGTTCGACAAGGTGACGAGACAGTTCGATCCGGTAACTTCACTGCATGGAGGCCACTGCATTATGGGATGAGTCTATCTGGTGCCGTGGTCGGCTTCGTCGGAATGGGTAATCTCGGACAGGCTATAGCCCGCCTTCTGAGCCCGTTTGGCGTGTCTGAAATGGCTTACTACGATCAAAGTGAGCGGCATACACCTGAGGGCTGGTCAGGTCCTGCCTGGAAACGGGCAGGCTTGCAGACTCTTCTAAGCAGCTGCGATCTGATCATCGTTTCGTTGCCTCTGCTCCCTTCCACTCAACATCTACTGGACAGCAAGGCTTTGGAAAGTCTTCGTCCGGGGGCATACATAGTCAACATTGGCCGAGGGTCAGTCGTTGATGAGAATGGAATACTGGACGCGCTCAACTCAGGAAGGCTTTCAGGTTATGCTGCGGATGTGTTTGAGTTCGAAGACTGGGCGCTTGCTTCGCGGCCAAAAGACATTCCTCAAGCTTTACGACAACACCCGCGAACTCTATTCACGCCACACCTTGGATCAGCAGTCGATAACGTCAGAAAAGAGATGTCAATGAAGGCGGCTGAGCAGGTTCGGTCGTTGTTGGCGGCTGAGGTGCCTGAGTTCGCGGTTAATCAGGTGAAGCAGGTCTAAGTTTGAGCAGCATAGGTCTTAGGCATGCAGCTACGGACATCTGATCTTTCTTAACGACTTTCTACCCAGATACAGTGGTGCCTGAAACGGAGATAACATCGGTATATAACGCTCGTCCACTGCCATAGTTCGCATGGAAGACCAAATGCTGTCCATCACGAGCGATTGAAGCACCACCAGGGCTGTTCAGTCCATAGGTGCCATTCTGAAACAAAGACCCCGAGTGACGAGTGTATGGTCCCAGCAGAGAACTCGAGGTAGCGTAGTTGACCCTGTAGTTCGAAGTGGCGTAGCAACCCGAGCTGAAGAACAGGACGTATGTTGAGCCGACTTTCGCAAGTGAAGGAGCTTCGACGATGCCGTTGTCCGTCGTGCCTGAGGCACAGTTCTTGAGGTAGTCGCAGTTGTCCAGAAGGTCGGTAATGCCGCCTTGAAGAGTCACTCCGCCAGACCCTACTGTCTGGATGCGGATGCGAGTAGAATACTGTCCGTTGTCGTTGCCGCAGAGACCACTGTCGAAAGGAGTCAGCCTGAGCCGAGCTTGTATATCGTCAGAGCTTTCGACTCACCTATTGCCAAGCGAGTTACCATCGACTTTCCAAAGCAGATACTGCTGACCATTTTCTGAATAACCCGAAGGATCTATATCTCCTCCTGCGGTGAGGTTGCATATCAGTGGGCTCGAATCCGCGGTGTACGGTCCAACGATATTCGAAGAGTGTGCGGCGCCCACACAATGATGAGATGTGCTCTGTGAGGTCGTGGCACAGTAGTACATGATAAAGCTGCCAGAGCTCTAGAATCTGGGATCAGCGTGTTGTTAACGACTGTAATAAAAGGGAAACAGATGATACTTGCGTACCAACAAGTTCACTATGTCAAAGGCATCATTTGGTCAGCTTTCTCTCGTCTTGCAAAGGCACTCGTTGAACTTCAAACATACCGTCAGGAGCCCAAACGTTCGGATTGGGCGAGTAGACCCAAGACGCAAGATTGGGCATAGCATCATGCTGAGAGCCAACCGAGTTGTTGACGAGCTGCCAAGTGTTGAAGTCTGAGGACGAAGCTACTTGCGTTCGAATGGCACTGTAAGCCTTCTGGGTAGCAAATGAGTACCACGTGTTGGCATAATTGATCACAGCAGGGTCTGAGCAGCGTCAGTGTCGGTGGTATAGGACGGCTCGTTCAGAGTGTACCGGGGAAATCATCGCCAAACAATTTGGGACCCGATGGAGCTCTCTTGACAATGCTGCGTTCTGGCAAGGATGTCGTTGAAGCGAGGCACAGAAGACCTCCAGCGAGGAAAAGCGTAAGGGGTAGGCCGACTGAGAACATGGCAATAACGTCTGGACTTTGAATCAGGTTGCCGGTGTGGGTGACAGCCAAACAGGAAGACTTCAAGAATGTCCAAGGGCGCTCTTATGCATCGCGATGCTGATCACTTGAAGAACAAAGCATCACTTGTTCGGTAATGCGTAGTCCATATACCACCGGCCTCACCATTCAAAATTGATCTTAGTCTGCCGCTGTTTCCTGCCACCGGAGTTGGCCACACATTTTGCTCGGATAGCCCGGCTTCTTGCACGCGCACTGACATGTTGGTGGTCTTCGTCTAACTCTGATAGTCTGAGTTGTCGAGCATGAGGAGCAGGCTAGAGTAGTAAAACGCATCCGATCCGACTAAGGTAGCGTCGTACACCACAATAAGAGGGTGGCATCATTAAACCTTCATCCTCTCAAAATGGCCGCATCGTAAGCAGCGGATTCGGGCCCAGCGCCTCCTCAACCTCCATGATCTCTTCCACATCCTTACTCTTCATCTCCCTCGCATGATCCTCCGTCAAGCCTCTCCGAAACACCACCGAGAACTCGACATACCCAATGGGAGTCTTTTCCGCATGATTCTCCGGCCACAGTTCGCTGTCATCCATCCACTTGACGCTACACGTATAGACAGGAACACGCAGATGCTTTTCTTGATGCTCGATGAGATCCTCAATCTTCCAGAAAGAATAGGCCGCGACTTTGTCCGAAGACCAGTGTCGCTTTGTGGCGCCGTGACCCCATTGGAAGGTAATCCGTTCGGCGTATTTGTTCTTGATGGGGAAGGAGACCGTTGATTTGTTTTTGTCTTTGGGGAACCAAGCCAGTTGATGAGGGTCTTTGGCCAGAGGGTTCAGACTGTGGTTTGGATACAGCTTCCATTCTTCCAGAGTGCTGCATATTGTCAGCTGGCTGTGCTTCAGCTCTTGCAGAGTACCATCTGAATCAGTTGGCATGCTGACTTGCAGAGTCCCGTAGTCCCAAGACCGCTGTTCCGGTGGTGGATCCATGTTGAGGGCACGGAACAGTATTGTCATGTTGGCCAGTCCTGACCCCATGCCGCCTTCGACTGGGAACGCCAATTGTACTCGAGATGACTGATTTCGTTCGAATAGGTCGGCAATATTAATTCGCACAGCGCCGAGAAATGTATCAGTCCTATGCCTCTTCTTATCTCGAACAACCACAATGACTTCTGCCGTGCGCCAGTCACGAACAAAGCGCCAGACCTCAGAACCAAAGTTTGGATCAGAGTTCCGCGGTTTGATCAATGTCCGGGTAACTCGATGCTGATTGATATAAATATTGGCATAACTTGTCGGAGCATCCGGAGTCTCGTCGTCGTAGATCATCTCGTCCGAGTCATCCGTTTCCCTCACAGCTCTCGATGTCGAAAGGAAGTTCATTGATGGTATTTCGACGTGAAGGATCCCACACGGATACTGATCCACCGGCGGCTGGCTGTTCATGATCTTCAATTCGGCTTCTTGCATGAATGCAGTCTTCTCTCGTTCGTACTCGTCTTGAGCGGACTCAGGTGCTTCGCGGAACTTGTACTTGACAATCTTGTCAACACGCTGCTCAAATTCGGCATGATCTTTGATCGGTGGGTAGATCTTTTGCCGTTGTAGTTGCTCCAAGGAGACACTCGCTTTGGGAAAGAAACCGATGCTCCAGTCAAGTTTCGCAACAGAATGGCCATCATCTTCACAGAGGAGGTCATCCGTCCGTAGTTGAAGTTTGCCCGAGTATTCTATGCTTGAGATAACGTCGGTAAGCAGTACTTTACACGAGCCGATGATCGTTTCGTTGTCCAGGATTCCAATTCTGACGAAGTTAACTTCGAGCGAATCTTGTGCATTGACTTCTTCTGGCCCTACGCAATACGCCATTCCTTCTTCCCATCTGGGAGATTTATCGGAATAGATTGTGCGGTAAATGTAAAGTGGATCCCCAGTCTTTGCCCATCCGACGCTAAGAAAGGAGGAGAAGTCATCTCGAGCCCATGGTGGTTGCAGGTGATGCACTTGATGCATTTTCGCAATAATGACGCCCAAGGGGTAGACATCTTGTGATGTGGTCTCGCCTACAAGGAGAGCTCCCAAGTCGATATTGATACTTCTTGGTGAAATGTATGCAGCCAGTGCGGTTTCCAGTGCCTGTTGTACCAACGTGGAAACGAGCGGCATGCCCATGACGTTCATGCTGCTTTTGAAAAGAGGAAGGCAGGCAAATTGGACCTCTGGCTTCCGCAGTAGTGATATGACGGCTTTGGAGACGAAAGGTGGATCCGGCTTGAGTTGGACTCTGGCTCGAAGTAAGCCCACAATCTTGTCCATATTGATCCAGACGGGTACCCGAACGCCGCCGACAAGTCGGAACACAAGCAGAATGTGCATGCGCTTGCGGTAGTCGTCGTCGTCGCGATCTCGTTCCGAACGGCCATAGTCGAATGCGACCTCGACATGGACGGACGTCCTCTCTCGAAGCATCTTCAGCCGTTCCCGCAACTCACGGGCAGCACTCCTCTTGCTTGACGTGGACAACTCAGTAGCCCTGCTCTTCAAACCTGGCTTGAGAGTCATTATCTCGTCATAAAATTCGCCACTGGTAGGTCCCGCATCGCCATCCTCCTCCACTGGCTGCTTGGGTAGTCGTCTGATACCAACAATCCTGATAGGTTTCGACCCCTGCCCCATATCCTCAATGCTGACGCCGCTGACAAACGGCGGAGAATTCGCCTGAATGGTAGCTTCCATAATGTTGGTAAGTGGCTTGAAGATATCCGGATTGAGGAATGGCCAGATCGAATCCAGAATGTCGTTCAGCCAGTAGGCCGCTTCCGTCTCTCTCGTCGCGGCTGCAGGTTTTGAGAGGAATGTTGCCACCATATCCCACACTCGTGACTGGAAGCTGACTTCCGCTTGATGTAATAGCCAGTGGAAGAGGCTTATGTTAATGAGACACGACATGACAATGAAGCTTATCAAAGCCGTGGGAACAGCATTCGAAGCAGGATGTGCCCATGCTGTCGTCCGCCATATCACAGCAGCGAGCACTGTCGAGAGTAAAGTCGCTGCAGTACATAGGAATGCCGAAGTCCGGAACGTCTTCGCCAGGGGATGTTTTATGGCATCCGCCTTGCTAAACTCGCCTGCCTGAACAAACAATGATTCCAGGATCTCCTGATGTGACTGTTTCGTCCGTGGAGGAGTAGCCTCCGGTTCTCGATCTCGACCAACCAGCCGAGCAGCAGATTCTCGGGAAATGATCCTGGGCGGCGGTCTCGAAGCATGCTCATCCGAAGACCCAGGAGATGCCATCCACATCGACCTGCCGACGAGCGTCGACAGAGCCGAAGACGAAGCATTCGCCGGCTTGGCAGGCATCGTGATACCTCGCGTCGGTGATGCTGGACATGGTGATGTTCCACGTCTCGGTCAGAAAGGCAGCCCAGAAGAAAGACAGGTGTGGCCTTGATTACGTAGTTCCCGAAGCTTACTCGCGTTTAGCCTCTGGTACATCTATTTTCTTGGATGAGCCGAATTTCTAAACGACGTACGTCTTAGCTAATCCATGCTTAGATTTTCAGGGTTGATGGGCGGCAACTAAGTCTGGTCGCCGTCGTCCCAAATAGGCAATTTGAGACGACACGGCTTGCCGAGGCTGAAGGCTGAGTCGAGTCGATACAGTGATTCGTCGCTTTTTCGATAAGATGCATAGTTAAGAGTTGGTCCATGTCAAGTCTATATGACTTGACAGTCATAACTTGCCCAACATGGGGCCTTCATCATGCAGCACGGCGTACAACGAGAGCCCAGATCAGGTGAAAGAGCATTACAGAAATTCCACCAGCTCCCTATAGTTCTTGACATCCCCAGATCAATAGGACTGATATACGCGAACTATAGCATATAGTCATCTTCATAGAACCACACATCTAAGATAGGGTTCTCATCCTCGACGAGATCTTCCACATCCCGGATCAGGACAGACTCGTGCCCACAAGCACAAGGTATGCGAGCAATCGAGCTCTCGCAATATTTAGGTGACCCTTGATGGAAGCATGGAAGCGCGACATCACGTGCGTGTCTTGCGTTGCTCGAAACTAGCGCTAGCGCATAACCTCATCTAAAGCTTCACCTTCCATTCGTTAGCTTCATGTTCTCGACATTGAACACGAGCTAGCGCCTGACTTGGGAGGTAGATACACCTATTGCTGGCAATGGCGACCGTGCATCCCTATCTTCGGGAAAAACGGGCGTACAACGACTAAAATCCCTCAATCAATTTCAATCAATTCATTGCAACCTCAACCTTCCAGTTGACAACCTTAATCAGTCAATTTGGATCATTGACTGGAGTATCCCACTGAAATGACTACGCCTCACGCTTCGTCTCGTCGAAAGTGCAGGACAGCCTTGAAAACAAGAACCTTCATCAACCTACTCAAACACACACCTCTCATTCCATCAAGTCTGCCCCGTAACCCCCGTACACTCAAACCCCACGGGCTCACTAACATTACTACAAAGATACCCCCCCCCCAGCACACTCCCGTCCCCCACATCCCTCAAATCCACATCCCTAACCTCAATCCCCGTACAAGGAACCCTGCCACTACACTGAAAACTGCCCACATCCCCTCCCGAATTATTCACCGTCCCCCTTACATCCTCCCACACAACATCCGAAATCTGCATGGTACTGCTGTCGCAAATATTCGGGATGGACTCGTTGGCGAAATAGCACTGCGTGATACTGAAAGGGGCGAATTTTCCCTGGCCGATGTTGGAGACGGTGAAGTCGAAGAAGGTGAGATTTTTGATATAGCCTCGTCCGCCCCCGCCGGCATTGGGTGGGTAGGGCCCGTAGGTGTTGTTGCCGGAGGGGATTCCCGCCCAGGTTTTGAGGTAGGCGGCTTGGGTGGAGTCGTAGAAAGAGATATTCGTGGCAGTGACGTTCTCGATGATTTCGAAGTTGTCGTTGTATTGTGCGATGCTCCCCATGGCGAGACCGTTCGTGTGGTGGAAGGTACAGTTGGCGATGTGGATGTTGGTGCTGTTCGCTTTGCAGGAGATGGCGTCGTCGCCGGACTCGACGGTCCAGTTGGTGAAGGTGATGTTGTTGGAGAAGAGGGTGTCGGCGCCGTCGGTGTTTTGCGGGTACCCGTGGCCTGGGCGGGCGTCGGAGTTGTTGATGGTGATGGAGTCGAGGTGGAGGTCGCTGGAGTTGATGATGGACATGGTCCACATTTGGGATTGGTAGAAGTTGAGGCCGGTTATGGCGGAGTTGGTCAGGTTGCCGAGGGTGATTTGGTGCGGGCGTCTGTTCGGCAGTATCAGTGACATTGTTTTGAGATCTTCGATGGTTGAGGTGGAGAACATACCTTGGATAGTTATCGAAGAAAGCAATAATTGACTCATACCAAACCTGACCACTTCCGTTGAACGTCCCAACTCCTCCACCATGAAGCCAGACATTATCACCGCCAAAGATCCAAACCGTAGACTGATTCTGGTAACCGACAGGAAGGCTGGTATTGAGCCAGTGGTCGATGTTCGTTGACCTACAGCATCGCAACAATCAGCTTTTGTGTCCATGTTCGAAGTGACATTCAATAAATCTCTTACCACTGCAGCGTCCCCTGAACATCCACTTCCACATTCGTCAAGTATGTATTCATGACTGATGAGATGTTGTACGTAGTCTCGCTAAACACGATCCGTCCATCTGTCCCACACTTGTCAATGGCATCGAGGATATTCGGCACCGCATCTGTGCCATCAGTAGGTTGCTCAACATTGCAGACATTCGATCGAGGTGGTAATGCTGCTGTGAATGATGGCAATGTCGCTAGGGCGAAGGCGACGGTGGATGTACGAGAAAACATCTCGAAGTCGCTGCCGGAACCGCCGTTGAATAGACAGGTAGACGAGAAATACGCTCTGTCAACATCTTTCTATATCTATATTCCATCCATGCCGGACAACAGGAACCATCGTCACTACATTGCAGGATAATAGCATGACGATGTGGCAACACGTTCGGCTCCACACTCACGTAGGATGCAGGACCTACATGTACCTTTGTCCCATACGATTCCTTCCAAGTCTAAAAGGAAGGACTCGCTAGAGATCTCGTACTTCGGGCCTAGTTCTTGCTCAGCGTGGAAGCATTGTTAGAGTATAGTGTACGAGAAGAGTTAGTCAGCCATTCATCTGGCGGCTCGTGACTCTTGGAGCCTTGGCAGAGCCATCTATAGCGGGTTCGATACGAGAAAGCCCTTAGTAGGAAATGGGTCTTGAAAGTGTGGTATGTCCGATAGGTCTTTGAAAGGCATGACTTTCAGACGTAGGTATTTCTGTTTCCACGATCCAAAGGACCGTGACTGAGATCAAGAATTCAAGTCATCATTGTCCATGGCACGCAAATATAAGCATTCGAGAATAGAAAGAGCTTCTGTCCAGCTCAAGTGGAGGTAGCCGGTCAAGCTCAAGCCACCTCATAGAAACCACCCTTTGTGGTGGTATTCCTCAACACCCTGCCGCGAGCCAGATCCCCTGCAGTGATATTTGGAAGCTTCACATGCTTGTACGGGCTTGGCGACTTCCTTATAGTCGTTGCTGTTGGACCAGTACCTCTTGTCCGCCCACGCATAGATGGCTTGAATGGATAGCCCTTGCTCTTGCGCTTCCTTCGCTGGGCTGGTTTGCTCCACGGGGGCGAAACTGGTGAGAGTCCAGAACTTGGATGTGGAGTTGGCACTCGACCGACCACGGACCTGAATGTAGGTGTGGTGGAAGGAGGACGAGGGTTGACGGCCTTTCTCTTTCGTGGACGCGGTGGGGGCCCGGAGATGCCGGATGCTGGGCGCGTTGGAGTCTTGGGCGGCATAGCTGGTAGTGGCTATATCCCTCACGCAGGTCGATAGTCTGCTTGATGGATTAAAGATGCGTTGTGTTTGCATTCGGGAATACCAAGAGCTAGGCCGATTATATGTCATTGACAAACAAAGCCATGGTGACGGATCAATGCTGCTCATGGCCGGATGCGGACGCTGTATTGGGCAACAAAGAGTTCAGGGAGCATGCGGATCCAGAGTCCTTTGTCCGGCCGACTCCATCCCTAGATCACAATTCTCAGTATGATCTTCTTTCGGGAGAACTTCGAGGCAGGCCACACCTCAGACCAAATTCGTAGAGATGAGCTTACGTAGTAGTATGCGTTTCCATGTAGCCAGCGGGATTCCACACGATCTTGCGAAACTTCCACGTCCCCAAGAACATCGGCAAAGGTACAACCGCACAAGCTACAACTGCTTGAAAGACAAGTGCTCGCTTCAATGAGTCAGGTGGCTGACTGCTCCAACCGCCTTGCAGCGCATCCATGATGACGATGAAGATGGCTCCCAGGACTTGTCCGCCGGTCCAGCCGATGACGCTGCTCACCTCAGGGGAGACTGGTAGAGTGAGGATGGAGAGTACCTCCAATGCCACCGGTAGAAGAGAGAAAGATGTAGCCCCGAGCAAAGCGCATACGATGTAGGGTCCAGCAAGGCTTCTCGTGCCTGGCATCCAGATGAGGATGATGTATAAGATTGCGAGAATCGGTATGATGACTTTGATTGTGATGAGGTATTTCTTGGTGCGGTCGATGATGGGTGACACGATAGCCGATGCGACCAGTCCAACCAGGATCAGCAACCCGCCTGCAATGCCAGCGTCTGTCTCAGAGAAGCCGTATGGTTCGAAGATTTGGTTTATCAAAGACGAAGTGGCGTTGAAGAAGCCGACATACACAGCGAACGGGATGGCGATGAGGAAGAACGAGGCATTGTGAGGGAGTTCGCGCAAGGCTTGCACTAGATCCAGCTTCTCCAGAGCAGCAGTGGCAGAGGGTGGAGAGGGCGGCTTGGCAGGGATGAAGGGGGCTGGAATGGTGGCGACGCTGGAGATGATGCCGACGTAGAGGACCATGTTGGGGAAGCCCGAGATGTCGTCGGACCAGATGGGCGAGATGAGTTGGCCTAAGGCACCTCCCAGGGGGTTTGCCAAAGAGGCGATTGCGGTGGCGGTGATGCGGCCTTGGTCACTGAACCAGAGCTGGCTGTACCGAGTCGGTGCCGCCAGGACGAACGGCTGGGCGAGCCCGATGAGGATTTGCCCGAACATGACCACGCCAAAGTAGCCACTCCCGGCCCGAGTGCCGGCATACCGCACCCAGTTGCCGATGAGGGTGAGGGCGCTGGCGGCGAGGATGGATGCCTTGGGCCCGTAGCGATTCAAGATCCAGATGGTGGCAGGAGCAGCCACAGCGAAGGCCAGGAGGAAGGCGGTGCTCAGCCAGTTGATGACGCTCTCGGAGGTGTCGAAGAACTGCGCGGCCGTGTCCGAGACGGAGGCGTAGGTGAGCCAGTCCCAGGAGATGACAATGTTGAGCAGGACCAGCTGTGCCAAGCCGAAGAACCGACGCTTGTAGACGCGGTATTGCGGTGGAGAGGGGGACGCATGGTGTTCGATGTTGTTGTCGTCAAGCAAACCATCGGTGGTGTCGGCGGTGGACTGCTGGACGAGCACGTTGTCGTCGCCGGGTCGTTTGGCGGTCGAATCACGGCTCGTCTGGCGCTCGGGCGGCGCGCCATTGCTCGGCCCGGCCATGCCTATAGGCACACTTAAACCACGGGCTGTACAGGTAGGCTATGAAGCCATTGGAGAAAGCTAAATCATGAAAGTGAGGTACAAACAAAGCAATGTTGTTATCGGTCGCGCCTGCTGTGCCTCTCAGCTTCGATTGACGGAAGGAGCAATGCTCTTGGCCTCGGCTCGCTTAACTTTCCGCATCAGGCCACGTGAGCGGCATATCGTCGGGCGGAGATTAGATCGGTGCCTGAGGTTGTTGCGCTGTCTTAGTGATGATGCGGCTCTGGAAGCATCCATCACCAACAACATCCACGACTGATTTGATTTGACAGCGACGACGACGGCTGGTTGTGGCGACTTTGACGGAGAATGACTTGACGACACCCACCCCTTTCCACTCACCCTCCTTTGGCGGCGACGATGTATCAGTCATTCACAGGCTCCGCGCGCCGCCCTCGCAACGTCAACCTCTCAGGCCGTCCTACCAACCCCTTCGCCGCATTCAATACCACAGGCTCAGGCGCACAGCAAGCCGTAGCCTCCGCGCAGCAGGATCGAGTCCATCGCCAGCAACAAAGAGAGCGACAGCAAGCATCATCTCGAATCCAGAAAGTATGGCGGGGCCATCGAGCGCGGAGGCGGACGTTCAAGATATGGAGGCAGGTCTGGGATGAGACGGAGAACAGCTCGACTGGGGCGTATCAATCATCAGATGAGTCTCTGCGGCAGTTGAGGAGGCTATTGTTGTTCTTCAGTCCGAAGGGAGAGCCGGGCGATATTCAAAGACTAGCCTGGTATGGCACTCGGCAGGTCACCACGAGTGAGACGGTAGAGTGTACAGGCGATGGCTGGAGGACGGCATACTCGAAGCTTCAGAGAGCATGCATCGCTGCGTTGAAGGCGAGAAAGAGCCCCAACGCCGACACAGACAGAACATTGCTCTGGATACTAGCATTTGCTGCGAGGCAGAGCTCGTTCAGCACGAAAGAGGCGGTCGAATACTACGAGGCTCTGACTGCGACATCGAGCCTTCCAGACGAGCCTCTGCAGGGCGCGCTACTCGCACCGTTGAAGCAGTCCAAGGAGGCTTACACTGGTCTTGTTATCCTCTTGGCACGGCCTGTGAATGCAGAGATGCTGAGCTTGCTCAGAGCCGCTGTTGATGCGCAGATCTTGGCTGAGGCGGTCACTGGACTGGGTGAGGATCGATCAAGTAGCCCGCGAGAACGGCTATGGCTATTGGGCAACATGATATATGTTACTGGACAAACGAGCAGCATGACCTTCACCGCCGCGGTTGGCCGCCTTCTTGGATCGCTGGCAGACGATGTGGATTTTGATGGACAAACTTTGGATGCTGATAATGAGACATTCGACAGGGACGTACTATCAAAGCTGGCAAGCGGTCTTCCGCTCAACACATTCCTCAACACACAAATCAAGACGCTACTCGACCAGCATGCCATCCGCAACCTACTGTCTGGCCAGCAAACCATCAACTCGAACAACAACAACGCACAAGTCTTGGCAGGATATGCTCTAACATTACTTCGATGCTTCCCACGAAGAGCCGATGACATTCGCATGTGGCTACATCTCGGCCCCACAAGCAAAGACAGAGCATCGCCGACCGGATATCTATGGGATGCGGCGAAACAGTGTCAGGTTTTCGGCGAAGTGTCGTCCAATTCAAGAGATGTTGTCCACCTTCTCAAGAACACGAAACCATCGCGACGGCAGAAAGATGATTGGACGGTCGTGCTAGTCTTTCTGGAAATGTTCACATTCGACTTGAAGATCATGGATGACGAAGATTTCATGGGAAGCAGTCCACAAGCCAAGAAGAACAGCGCTGTGCCTGTGCGCGATGTGGCGCGGCTGGTGACCTTTCTCAAGAACTTGGGTTTCACCCTATACTTCGATGCCAAAGACCTCAACGATGCCACACCAAAGCCGGCAAGAGACGAGCCTCTATTCAGCCCAGGCCGTCGATTTGGCAACTCGAACGTAACAACCACTTCCACTGAGGTTAAGCCCCTCACTGTTGCTGGTTTGCCTGGGTTGACTATCGATTACCTCAAAGGACTGACCACCGGATTACTCCGAGCAATCTACGAGCGTGATTCAAGGCGAAACTTCCTACCAAAGGATCATTGGCTCATGACTGAGCGATTTGATATGAAGACTTTTATTTCTGGTGTGGTGGAAGAGGAAGAGCGACGACATACCGTACAGGAGTTGGATGACGAGGATAAAGACGACGACTCTGACGGAGACGATATCGAGCTTTTGAATGTACCGTCAAGAGGCCCTTCGAACTACGCTCGTGTGTTGAGGAACCAAGAAGCTCGAGAACGTGCGCAGCGCAAAGCCAGTAGAAAGCGATACCTGGAGTCCGTGGCGCCAAGGTTGGAAATTCTCCAGAACATGCCCTTTTTCATACCGTTTCACACTCGAGTGCAGATCTTTCGAGAGTTTGTGCATCTCGACCAGGAGAAACGACGAAATGGCTACGTGGATCCGGAAGTCTGGCGCATGATGCTTAGAAGCGAGGCCATGGGTGCTGGGATGATGCCAGGTCAGCGAGACCCATTGTCGAGACACCACGCCAAGATCAAGCGGACATCTGAGTTCATGGATGCATATGAGCAGTTCTATGACCTCGGAGCCGATCTGAAAGAGCCGATTCAAATCACCTTCATCGACCAATTTGACACACCCGAAGCTGGTATCGATGGCGGTGGTGTTACCAAAGAATTCCTGACCAGCGTCATCAACCAGGCATTCAGTCAGGACCCTGAAAGCATGAACCACTTCTTTGTCGAGAATGATCAACATTTGCTCTACCCGAATCCCACTGCCATCGAGGATCTGCGGATACGACTCCAGGAGATTGGGTTGCGGGACGAATCGCCAGACATGCGTGAGCAGATGCGGGAGTTGCTTAAGCAGTACGAGTTTCTTGGCCGTATCATCGGCAAGTGCTTGTATGAGGGAATCCTAGTGGATGTATCCTTTGCTGGCTTCTTCCTCAAGAAGTGGGCACTTACTGGTGGCACTGGCAGCGCACCGAACGAGTCACACTACCGGCCCAACATTAACGATTTGCGTGAACTCGACGAAACCATCTACAGAGGTCTCCTGGATTTGAAGAACGCTGAGAATGCAGAAGACTTTGGCCTTGACTTTACCGTCAATGTCACTGTGGGTCCAGACCACAACCGACGAGTAGTCACTGTCGAGCTGGCTCCCAATGGCTCGAATATTCCTGTCACAAACGAGAATCGCCTTTCCTACATCAACCGCATGGCTGCCTTTCGACTTCAATCGCAGAGCAAACGCCAGACGAACGCTTTCCTGCGAGGTCTTGGCGACATCATACAACCTTCTTGGCTGTCTATGTTCAACCAGACTGAACTGCAAACCCTTATCGGCGGTGCGCAAGGTTCAGTCATTGACGTCGAAGACCTGCGACGAAACACGCAATACGGTGGTGTATATGTTATTGGGACCGATGGACAAGAACATCCATCTGTGCAACTATTCTGGACCGTGATGCACAAGCTACCCGATGAAGATCGCAGAAAAGTGCTGAAGTTCGTTACAAGCACGCCACGAGGCCCGCTGTTGGGCTTCGGGCATTTGAATCCGAGATTCAGTATTCGAGATAGTGGAGGTGATGAGGGCAGGTACCCCACAACGAGCACTTGTGTGAATCTACTCAAGTTGCCTATGTACAAGGATGAGAAGTCCTTGAGGAGCAAATTGCTTGCGGCGGTGAATAGCGGGGCTGGGTTTGACTTGTCGTAAGAGGATGAGTCTTGATGTGAGATTGAGCGAACTTTGAGCATGAGGCGATGACCCCAAGTATAGTATAGATTTTGCATAGCGATGACTGCTTTGAATGAAACGAGTGGACGAAGCCCCTTCACAACAACCTCGAGGCATTCACGCGGCTAATCCAGGCTCTAAAATCAAGACGATGGACCCTATTTCGAGCGTGCCATCCTCCCGCACAGACTGCACTAGTTCCTGCCTAGTCGGTTCCACAGGCCTTGAATACGCTCCTCCTGAACTCAAACCTGGATATAGGCCTTTCTTATTGACGACCGTGTCCGTGGCAAAGGCTTCTTCACAGATGGGTCAAAATTCGGGTGTTCGTGCTATCGGAAAACCGCCCTTGAACAACGACCGAATGTCCATATCAGATTACGAATTCTACCATCTTGAGGCTTGCAGCAGCAAATGGGTCACCATAGTACATCCATGAAAACGATGGCCATGTCTCAGTAGACGAGTACCGATAAATACTGGATTAGAAGTACCTCAGTTCCCAGTGGTAAGACTTCTCGATACCCGCTCTGTTCACTTACCTCCAACCGAAATGATTTTCTCACGCCTGCATCTCCGGACCGCTTTCATCACGACCCTGCTTTACGGTCTTTCCACTCAGCAGGGCGCCTCGCAAGAGTATGAATTCATCGTGATTGGGAGTGGAGCCGGCGGCGGTCCTCTTGCGGCGAATCTTGCACGCACGGGTCATACAGTCCTTCTCCTTGAGGCAAGGACAGATAATGGAGATTCTATGCTGCAGCGTGTGCCTTCATTGTGAGCGAATGCAACGACTTACCATTTCGATTGCACTGACTTCCTTTCCAGCTCAGACTTCGCGGCCGAGAGCGACGAAATGGCCTGGGCCTTCTACGTCGACCATTACACCAACACAACTCAAGCTTACCGTGACAACAAATACACCTGGCGACATCAGAACGGATCGATTTTCATCGGCACAGGTCAAGACGCCGGGGATGCCGAGCCTCTGGGTATCATCTACCTAAGAGGTGCCACGCTCGGGGGCAGTACGCAGGTCAATGGCATGTGCTTTACGCTGCCACCTGACGCACAGTGGGACGAGCTTGCTGCGTTGACGGGAGATGATTCTTGGAACTCGACTAGCATGCGGACGATCTTTGAACAACTAGAAGCTTGCGACTATCTTCCTAATGGCACTGCCGGGCATGGCTTTGATGGGTATATCCATGTAAGTGATTGTATCTGATGATGTGCGAGGAATTGGCTAACGGCAAAGTCCAACCAATTGCCATTGTCCCTCCTCGACCTACAGCCCGGTCTTCGAGACGTGCTTGGATCAGTGTATGGAGCACTCGGACAATCGAAGCCAAACTCCACCACAGACTTGATCAACCGTATCGGACGAGACATGAATCGACTGGATCCGATACGCTACGAAAACAGCGATCTATACACCATGGTGATCGATCAGAATGCAGATCATGTACGAACGGGTGCTCGCGACTACATCATGGACACACTTCAGGCCACACACGCGAATGGGAGCCGGCGGTACCCAGGACTTACGATTAGTACACAGTCCTTCGCCACAAGAGTTCTCTTCGCCAACAAGACAACGGAATCAACTCGCCCTCGAGCGACTGGTGTCGAATACGTAGCCGGCGAGTCAGTCTACAAAGCAGATCTTCGCTTCCCCAATCGAGGAGCCAGACCCATCACTCCAGTACAAGCGATCGCAACCCGCGAAGTCATCGTCTCAGGAGGCGCATTCAACACCCCCCAAATCCTAAAACTATCCGGATCGGCCCCCGCGAGGAGTTAGAACAGCACAACATCCCCGTGCTAGTCGACCTCCCAGCGGTGGGCCAAAACCTGCAAGACAACTACGAAGGCGGCATCACCGTCGAGGCCGCGCGAGACTTCACGACTCTATTCACAAACTGCACCTTCGGCGACCCAGGCGACCCCTGCCTCGCCGAGTTCACACTCAACCACACAGGTCCCTACACCATCGGCTCCGCCTGGGCCGCACTCCTCTTCGGCTCCAGCGTCGCCACGACCCCCGACACAGACATCTACGCGTACGGCGGCTCCACGTCGATCTTCACAGGCTTCTATGAGGGCTACGCCGAGGCTTAGTGCTCCCCTCTCAACATTCTGGTGGTCGCTCGTGAAAATGCGTCCACAAGGCCGGGGCTCAGTAAAATTACGCTCAGCGGACCCCTTCGACACCCCCCTGATCAATTTTGAATACTTCGCCAACGGCGGTGCCCACGACCTCCAAGCCCTCCAGGACGCCGTCAAGTTCATCCAAGCCGCCATGAACAGCAAGGGTGGGGGCTACTCCCCCTTCACGACCATCGCGCCGGAACCCTCCGTGAGTATCCAGCAGGGCATCAAAGACTACGCGTTTGGGCATCACTGCGCGTGTAACTGTGCGATGGGGCCTGCGAATTCGAGCGCGGCGTGTGTGGATTCGCAGTTGAGGGTGCATGGGGTGGAGGGGTTGAGGGTGGTGGATACTTCTGTTTTTCCGGGGGCGATGGGGGCGATGGGGGCGTTTCCCATGCTGCCGACTTTTATGGTGGGGTTGAAGGCTTTTAGGTTTATAAGGGCGGAGGTGGAGGGGGCGGTGTAGGTGGGGTGCTGAGAAGGCTGTCGAGGGATGTATAATTGGAAGATGTCTGATACAGGATGCTCTAATTGCCTACCGAATACACCACAGGAGCTAAGATGCCAACTGGACAAGAGTACGAAGCTCACGGCTATGGTGAACTGCATCAAAAGTGAGGTCCAGTGTGGCGGATAACGATACTAGGCTTTCCAACTGAAAAGTGTGGCCACGGGGTTGGATGGTGATGGAGTTGGTGCGAATGCCTGCCTCACGAGCTGAATCTTGACCTGAGCCCGGCCCATCAACAGAAGATCAACCTCTCCATCCCGATACTCGCGAAATCATGCGCAGTATTTGGCGTCTCCTCTTGCAGCTGACGTGCATATCACGCACGTGCATGCGGTGGTCTGATCGTCTCACCCGGACGCCACCTCCACAGCAGCGTTCCTTGGCTCAGCCAGCCTCGTGGAAACTGTGGAGATCTGGATCAAAGTCGTGCATATACGCATGCTTCATACGAAACCCCTCCAATGATCTGTGGAGGCCCATGTGCAAGCCCGCTGCCCGCACAGGTCGTCTGGAGCTTGAAAGGTCAAGCTGTTGAGTGAGGTCGAGTGTGGCTGTCGACCACATCTCTGGCAATGTGCTTGAACTCGGCTTCTATGCTGCAAAGAGACATGTCCTGAGTCCATACTCTGCACTCGACATGGCACAATCAACTCACAAACGAGAGAGAGCTTTCCACAAAGACGACCGCTGCTTCGCTAATCAACTCATGTTGCTACTCTGCACACTGACCCGGACATTCCAACCGCAACAGATTCCCTCTCGCCTGCAGAGTTCAGCTTCGCAAAATGAAAATTGCCATGGCAAAGTATCCGCAGTGCGCTGCATGCTCCCACAATCTGGACCTATCCTAAATCCTACGAGGTCTGCATTGAGTGTCTCAGGATCAACCTCTCCCATATTGATCAGTGCTTCGAGAAACGCCAATCCCGAGGAGCCGCAAAGATGTCAGACCACCGTCACCATCTGTCTGGTACTTGTTACACGGAATGCAGGTTTCAGGTCTGCTTTCGCACCGTGGCGCTGCTGTGAGAATGCAGGGTCTTCGGAATGCGTTTCAAGAGACGCAGCCATACTTGTCTCGCATGGCTCGTGTCTAGACGATTTCGATTCGCACTTGTTGCATGCGCGGATTTGGGCGCTTTTGTCTAAAGCCCATAGCAACTGTTAAGGATATTCGGGGAAGCCTCCCAACAGATAGCAAGCCTCGTGGAGCCAGGCAAGGACGACGACGTAAATCAGACTTGTCTACCCGGCTATGCAGAGGTGAAGTGGCATGCCATGCACAGATCACATCGAAGAGCATCCTGGTAAGATACTTGCATACACATGGCACATACTTCGCAACTGCAGTATCGATTTGAGGCCAGACCGCACAACAGTGTGTTCCTCTGCCCGCCATCCCTTTTTCCATCCGCAGCCACCGTCCAGCAGACAGCTGGAACATGGAAATGGAGCAATCTCACAGCTGACTCTCTATGCGAGTGACCTTCACGCAGCTCAGCCACGTACCTAGCTATCGCTAGCAAGACCTATGTCGAGACCACGTTGAGGTGAGAATGTGAAGGCTTCTCGCGCAGGACACTGCAACAAGATGCAGCCGCAACGCCTCATCACCAGACTTTCAGCACGTCGCTGGACGAGAATTACACCTCTCAGTACAGCGTGGGGATGGGTGGAGGGGAAGGGAAAGGCATATATAAGTACTATCCTTTCCTTTCGATGGCTTTCAAGTCGTCTTTCTCCCCGATCACAAGCTTCTCTTGACACAGTCACTCCCCCGGAGGAGCCTTCAACCATACATACCGCAAACAGCGTACTCGATACATATCACTCAACATGCCCGCCGCCACACAGACCGTCCCGTCCTGGATGACCGGCGGCGCCACCAAAGATATCCCACTCAACGGCATCTCCAACGGGCTCAAATCCAAGAACATCACCCTCCAGCAGGTCTCCAGCACTCAGAACGATGGTTTTGGCGAAGACGACGCATTCGCAGTCGCTTCTGGCCCGCAGAAAACCTTTAGCCGAGACACGGTGAAATCAGACGATAGGAAGGACTATGAGCACGAGAGAGAGGAATTCAAAACTGCCTGGGACAATACTAGGAACCACTTGGAGAGTGTCTTCGAGCAACTTTTCCGGGAGCGCACGAGAGTCGGTAAGGGTGATATCGAGGTGCTGATCTCGAGATTTGGCGTCAAGTGAGTTTCGATTTCGTGACTGCGATGCTTTATTCTTACTGACCGACACATGAAGCGACTATAACGTCGCCGTCCGCTCCTGGAACGCCAGTATCCCAGACCGCAAGTCGACACTCAAGCCGCTTCAAGTATTTGATCCGACGGCCGAAGGCAGCGTCAGGACCATCGGTGGTCTACAGGTCACCATCGAAGAGCTCGAGGCCTTCCCGGGTCAGTCACCATACCTTCCACCTGCTGCAGTCTATCTATTGTCACGCTAACCCAACCCCTCGCAGATGTCGTCAAAGCGGGCCTCTTGATGGCTCTAGAAGTCGACCCGGCGCTGATCGCGTTTCCCGATTTATTCAACGAAGAAGGTGGCATTGCTGACAACGTCGTCGACAGTGTAAAGTCGTTCGGGATCAGAGCTGGGATCTACAAGACCTCGGACAGCCGCGTGGACAGCGAGAACGCTGTGTTCGAGGACATCAAGAGCCATCAGGTTAAGAACCCTAAGACTGGACGGGATCAGCTGGAAGCCAGGCTCACAAAGCAGTTGAGGGTGGCTGTTGGGTTGCCGGCGGTCAGTGTTGGCTAAGCACATTTTGAGGCTTAAGTACTTGAGGGTGGTCTGCGGAAGTTCGATTTGCAATGAGCGCGGCGTGCTCATTTGATAGGCCTTAATGAGAGATATGTATGCCTTTTCCCCATCGACAAGAAGTGCACATTTAGCTTGAGGACGAGCAATTACATGATCTAAGTCTAAGTCCCTGTAGCCCTGGCAATGTTGAGAATAAAAAGCCCTCATAAGTGAAGGAAATGCTCACTGCGCCTTCGCATCCTTAAGCACATGCACCCACTTCCTAGACGCCTTCGCCTGCGAATTCTCATTCAACAAAAAGATAATCACAGCCAACAGCGGCCAAACACCAACCCATCTCGAACGACCATTCGCAGTCCGATGGAGGTTGTACTGTACACACGCAATCTGTCCCGCGGATGTCAACTTCCCAGAAAGAACCCATGACGAGGCTGTATGAGGCGCTGGATCCTCCCCTCTCTTCCAACGCTCCACGAGATCCGGCATCAGGCCGATTGCAGTCCCGATGCCGGCTATGAGATTGTCTCCTGATGCGATGACCTGTTCGGCGGTCTTTCTGGAGCGGATGCCTCCTGTGACCATGAGTGGGATAGTCGTGATTTCTTTCAGTTTTCGTGCTGCCTCGAGGAAGTATGCCTCTCGTTCCTGCGTGCTCTTGCGTTGGGGCTTTTTGGCGTGCGTGCCTGTCATGGCGGGAGATTCGTGGCTGCCGCCGGAGATTTCGATCAGGTCGAGACCCATGTCTTTCAGCCTTGTGGCTACCCAGGTCAGGTCGTCGGGTCCAAATCCACCTCTTTGGTAGTCTGCTGAGTTGATCTTGACGCCAACACCGAATTTTGGTGAGACGGCAGCGCGAACGGCCCGAATGACCTCGAACAGCAGACGAGCTCGGTTCTCGAGAGTGCCACCCCATCGATCAGTCCTCTTGTTCCACAAAGGCGACAGGAATTGAGAGACCAAATATCCATGCGCCGCATGGATTTCAACTCCATCAGCACCAAGCGCTTCCGCCTTGCGAGCCGTCCAGACAAACCGTTCAACAACACCCTGGATCTGTGACTCCGACATCTCACGCGGTGTGTCGAACATCTTGTTCAAAGAACCAGATCCCATCTCCATAGGCACGGCCGAGGGACCATACACAGGCAATCCAGCTCCTTTCTTGATCTGTCGTCCAGGTTGATTGATCTGCAGCCAGAACTGCGCTCCACCGTTCTGTGTCGCTGAAATCCACTCCTTCCAAGGAAGGGGATCGAAGTTTGGTATATCGTCCGCCAGTACGACATCTCCTGGAAGAGCCACAGCGTATGGATCGATCATGACGTGCCCGCTCAGAATGAGCCCAGCACCACCGGCTCCAAAAACACGGTAGAGACGAACCAGCTCTTTCGACGGTGCGTTGTGGTTCTTGACGTCGGCGAGATTCTCTTCCATGGCAGCTTTTGCTGTGCGATTCTTCAAGCGGGTTCCATTTGGAAGTTGGAAGGATTGGAAGAGACCGGAGTCTGCCATTCTTTGTCGCTCGGGAGTTGGTTGAGGGCTGCGCGAGACTGTTTGGACGATTTATCGCAGCAACTCGAATGCAGAGTCCAGACGACGATTGTGTATAGATGTATGAAGACGCAGAGTGCTTTTATTTGTCAGGTAAGTGTGGTTTGTAAGAGTGTCTAGAAGCGGTAGGTCAACTTGAAGCCGGCGGCCAATCAATCCCGCCGACTCGTACAACGCTCAGCCTTGTCGGGGTCCAATGTCGATGTTCGACCCAATAGGTCACCCAGGCAGAAGGGTTTGAAGTCGCCCGAGCATTGAGCGCCATCTGTTCGAATGGCCGATAAGTTCCCTATTGGTAGCCGGCAGCGTTGTCAGCATTGAAAGATCAGACGGTCTCTTAGCAGAGGAGAGACGCAGCACATCGATCTTCTGTGTCGCGCTGCGACTCGATTATAGAGACCTGAAGTAGTCGACAGTGCCAATTGTCATAAGTCTGCTTATCTCCTTACTGAAATCCGTGCGTAAAGGCAGTAAGACGCCATGGGACGGGCTGCACCTCCTCAGCCTTGTCTTGAAGGATGTGAGAAAGACGGTGACCATGTCTTGTACGGTCGCAACAGATAAGGAACCTGGACAGATACAGAACGATCCGCTCACCTCGTCGTGTTGTTTGGGGCTACAGCTTAGGTTCTCCTCTGCTACTACGTGTAAACAAACTCATGGTATCCTTCAACCGAGCAAAAAGGGCACCTCCTCTTTGATGTAGCCAGTCATCTTTTCATCAAGCGTCGAAGGCGCCTTGGGCCCCACGCAGAAAGTATTACACCGGCCCTTCTCCAACTTCTCAAAAGGAACAAGGCCTCTGATTGCACTTCAAATTGATTAGACAGATTGCGCGCAATAGAGATGGTTGCTCCCATTTAAGCGGTACATCGACGGTGGAACCAAACGCATCCGACTGCTACGATCCAGCCGACTCGATCCCGCAGCCTTCTCAGAGTTCAGACACGAGAGACGGACCTTGATGAAGTCGCTCGGCAATTCGGGCCTCCCAGAGGTTTAGGGGGAATCGTGTCCGCTTGAGCCATGAAAACGGCCCAGGCGCACCAGGTTCGATGGCGTATTCGAGATCTTGCTGCGCCGCTGACACCGATTGGACTCCAGCCGCGCGCGAATGGTGTGTTCTAGTAGGGAAAGGGTACACAAACCCCGAGGGACTGCCTTCAAGCAAAGGTCTGAGTTCCTTCCTCAAGATATGACCAGGATCGTCGCACCATTCGCCTTTTTCCACGCACTCTGACAAGAACAATCGACCGCCCAACCCCAGGTTTCCTTCCCCCGCGCAGAGCGAGGATAGCCAGAACACTGGCGCGTGCAACCGCTCGGACTCTGTACAGTCGCAGCGACAACGGCGGTGTGGATACCAACTTGTCTGCCCTCGGAAGAACCACGAGAGTGCTCTTCGGTCACTTTTTCTGGTCAAATGCACGCTGTCAATCATCTGTCCCACCAAGTCGAACAGCCTGTCGGCGGCTGGAATCTGCCGAAGAGCCGTGAGGCTTTCATTTATGCGATTTGTTCCCAACTCCTGACCACTATCATCGCTGTCCACCTCCTCGCTGTCCCCTTCATCGCTGTCCCCCTCATCGCTGTCCGCCTCCTCGCTGCTGCCTCATTGTTGGTGAAAGCAGAGCGTACATCCATGACTTTGCTGGATCTTCCACAGCCCTGCCTTGCGATCCATGTGAGCAAATCAGCTCCGCGCAACACCTTCTGGTCCATCGAAGTCAGAGAAGTGCGGTGTAGTCCACGAATATGCTTCAGCATCTCCCTGACAGTCTCTGCGTGGCCCTTAGCGGCTGAAAGGAACAACGCCGTTAGTTCGGCATTGTCCCTCACATTTACATTTCCCCCTTCGCTGCAAGCATCCGTACAATGTCTGTGCGGCCAAGTTCGGCGGCGCATGCTAGTGGTGTGACTCCGTGTTCGTCTATTGCTTCCATTTCAATTGTGTTGGTTTCAAGGCATATCTTCACGGTGTTTATGCAACCCCATTTGCACACAGCATGAAGTACACTCTCGCCCTGAGTATTCTTTTTGTAGACATCAATGTCTGGGTGTGACATCAACATTCGGCAGACATTGTCACACCTACGAGAGACTGGTCCAAACAGAGGTGACTCGCCACGTATGTCAGGCTTGTTGACGTCGATGTCTGGGTGTGATAGCAACATTCGAACGACATCGTCATGCCTTGTTGCAGCTGCCTCGTGCAAAGCCGTCCTGCGATAGCGACCATATTTGTCGATCTTAATATCGGGGCGCGATAGTAACATTTGGAGGACTTATCGCCGCCCAATAGAAGCTGCCACGTGGAGAGCGGTGAAGTAATATTTGTTCCTTCTCTTGATGTCGATGTTTGGGTGTAAGTGCAAAACTCGTACAGTTTCCTCTTTCTCGTATAGCGAAGCTGCTTTCAGTAAAGCGAATTGCCGTCCACATCCCTCTGATCCACGTCTATACTCTCGATCTCCAGAAGGATCTTGACCATCTCAATGTGCGCGTCGCCAGCAGCAATTATGAGCGGTGTCCTTCCACGACCATCTGCGGCGTTGCAACTCAGTGACGGCGCCTGCTCTAGGAGCATCTTCACGAATTGCGTGTGCCCACGCCCTGCAGCATGCCAGAGAACACTGCAACTGCGACCGTAGTAGACTCCGTTACGTGTGTCGTCTGCTTGAGCACAGGTCCGATGGAAAAGAACTCGTGCGGTCTCAGTAATGCCAAACTGTGCTGTAAGCATCATCGGCGTTTTGGCCTGAGTATGTCGAATTTACATAGTCTGCTTTCGTCAGAAGTACTTTATAGAGCTGAGCGAGATCCTAGATCGCTACGGTATGCTAGATGGCGAAATATTCCATTGCCAGCGTGGTGTTCCCGAATTCGCTGGAAACATCACTTTTTGTTATTGCCAGCCAGAAACGCAAATCTTGCCTAGCAGAAAGTTCCATGACTCTCGACGACAATGCCTCAATCTGTTCACAACCAGGCTGGGATTTCATATTCACATCTTTGGCATGTCTCGCCCAATGAAAGGCGGCGTAGCGCATGAAAGGCCATGCACCAAAAGGCACACCAGGAGCTGCCTCGTCCACAGCATCCAGAACCACAAAGTAGTTATCAATGTTCGACAGCATGGCCTGAAAATTGCCATGGAGCCTCTCCAAAGTGAGGCGTTCGCGCTTCTTCTTCGCTTCCACAAGGTCGTTGGCATCTCTGGCAGGAATTCAATCAGTTACCGCAGCAAACTGCAGAGTACATGGGGTGCGGTTAGCGTATCCTGCATCTTCTGGTCGAAGAAAAGATCAAGGACCAAGGTCGGGGTTGGACTGTCGTCTGCGGGACTGTGTTGTAGCGCCTCGATCAAATGTGGAGCCAGTGTGAATTTGCCGGTCCCCTGGATGACTCCCGCCAAGTAGATTAGAGCCCTTCCCACGCTGGGCCCAGCTGTTGTATTGTTCATCTTCGAAGGACCATGACACAGTGCCGGCTTGATAATTCCTCTGGTGCTGGTGCAATCGTGGAGTGTAGTCGGTGGGGCATAACCAGGTCTGCAGTTCTCTCATCTCGTTTTCAGCGGCACTGTCCACAAGCCGGGAAGTCTTGGTCTTGACGTCTTGCATATCTGATTTTACTGCAGGCAGTCAGCGTTTAGGGAGTCAACGTGGCTACCATGGTACTGACGCTCCCTTGGCCTCTTGGCGAGTATACCCTCGCCGTATATCTCGTCTACGTCAAGATAATTTAGCAACTCTTTGGCGAAAGCCGCTGCTGTCGCAGCCGCGTAGTGCTGCCAGATATCGTTCTTCCTCTCGTCTGCGTAGTCACAAATGCCGCGAATTACGACACACGGAAAACTATTCATGAGCCCGCCAGCCACCGTTTCAAAGCAGAGCGGATCGATGTTGTTCTCACGCAGCCACGTGACGATGTCGTTTCGCTCTTGAGCGATTGTGATCAGCTTGTTACCTGAAGCAATGGTTCCGTAGTGGATTTTCGATGCATCCCGGCTCCGGTCGGGGTTGGAGAACTTTAGTGCTGCACGAAGTGGATCATGCTCGGCGCCTGGGTAGATGAATGTGTCTTTCATGACCTCATTTTGCTCAAATGCGGCAAGTAGCTCCCGCATCTTGGAGCGTCGGCGAAGGTGTTGCGCCCGCAGCGCTCCCAGTGCATGTAAGAAAGCATCTGGAGGTTGATTCAGGTGCCCATTCAGAAGAGTCCTATTCTTGCCGTCAACCACCTTTGCTTTGATAACATCGTGAAGGACAACACCGCCGTTTCCATTCTCGGGCTCGCTCACGACAACATCGCCTAGGAGAACGTCACGTTCGAGCACGACGTGGCCACTCTCATCGTGAGTCTCTCCTGTAACGCCGGCACCTACGCCCACGAGCAAGCCGATGCGGATGTGTGGTAGAGAAGAGACGAGGTGGGCAGCAGTGACCGCGGCGCCAGTGGTGCCGTAGACACCATATGGCAGCGACGCTATAACGACGTTGAGGTCGCCGATCCGTCCCCATGAGTAGCTGTTGCCATCGGATGGGTTCTTCTTGAAGTCTTTCGGTCGGCGATGCTCCTCGTCGAGTAGTTCGAGTGCAGCAGCCCGCTCGTGTGGAAGTGCAGCGATCCATGCGATCGTGTAAGTTGCGGTGGCCGGAGGGCTAGAAGCAGCCATGGCGCAAATTCAATATTGCCTTGCTGAAGCGTAGAGAAGTGCCGCTGTTTGGAGGTAGCTGTACCAGAGCTCCCGAACAGTGGTTATGTCCATGACAATGAGAGAACCTGGAGGAAGAGGTCGACGAAGGTGTAGAGGTTGAGTCTTGAGCGGCTCAGCAAGCCCGGCTGAATGCGTGGGCCGTTGGAGCTGCAGGGCGACAGCCTAGCGACCAATGAAATGACGGGTTGGAAGCCATCTGTGACACCTTTGAAGCAGGCAGATGCTTGTTTTATTAACATTTCGGCTCCAAGTGAAACCAGCATCTCCGTTGTTGACTCACTTTATCATCCACTGGCGGTGCAGACGGCGGCCCATTCGCTTCTGAACTGGGCTCACGCCGTGAACGCCAAAGTGGAAGACGTGAAGGTGTTCGGCACGGTCTATCGGTGTGGTGCGATGCTCCAGGCAAGCGTTTTGACGCTGGTGACAGGTCTATCGCCGTCGCCGTCACGATTCAGTGCAGTGCATTGCAGCCTTCAAGATGTCGATGGTTGGATGAGGCTGGAGAGGTTGAGATATACACATGGACGTAGGTTTGATAGAGGAAGGCTGATCCCGACCTCACCTGCCAAGACCGGGCCAACGAAGCACTGGAGTGCTGCCGTGCGAGGTGAGAGCGGGGGAAATGGCCAGAAGACTTATTGCATACATGGTAGGACTGACGATTGGCACTGTGCTCAATGAACAAGCTGCACAGAGGAGGTAAATGTGTTCAGTACAGTCAAACCTGGATAAGAACATAACTTATTCCTGAGTTCATTCTATGTTGCTAACCAGGTTATAGGACTATCCAGTCTAACTAAAGAAACAC